CCGGACTTTTCTTATTGCAGGAGCATATTTGCTTGCAATTGGGAAGCCCTATCTAGAAGTTACACCTTTCAAACACCTGCGTGAAAGCCCCATGCATGGCGCATTGCATATGTGATGCCAATTGGCGCCCAATGGCACCAGTTTCTGCTAGTCCCATTACGTCACGACCACTTAGGATCTACAAATGTCAGTTGCTAAATGATAGGGCTAAAATCCAGAGAGAACAAATCATTAGAGGAGTTAAAAAAGGCTCACCAATGGAATAGCTGCAGCTTGAATTGGACGAACAAATTTGTAATGGCATTTTTCAGTACAAATTTTGATTAAGTCTGGATGCAGACCGCTGTTTTCCCACGAGCTGAAAAAAATGACAATAATTCGTGAAGAATTGATAATACTACGAAAGCCCATCCCCAGGACAAGATCCATCATATTCGTTATATGCGTAAAGCTCACTAGAAGCAGAGCACAGTTACGTTTGCTGAGGAATGACGGGGCGTGTAATTGAGGATCGTTTGGTGCGCCGCCAGCCCGTTCTTCACCAGTGCTGGAGCGGAGCAACAACAGTTGGTGGAAAACAACTAATACGAACGATAGATACAGTAATGCCGCTTGGGGGAAGGAAAAAAAACGGGCTGGCGCCGCACCAAACCCATCCCCCTGACAAGCTCACCATCCGCAGCGAACAAGACCGCGATCACGCTCTCATCCAGCCTGTTCTAGCCGGCTGAGGACATACTTTTCGATTAGTTTTCAGGTGGATCGTCTCCGCGTAGGGTGGGTCTACAGAATCGACCTATTTAACTCGCCCGAAAAATCGGGACAAAGGAGTTAAGGCCCCCCCCCCTCCATTCATGTATTACACAAGCACATGACATATGCTGGTCACTTGCGCGCTCTGGTCACATGCGTGTTCAGTTGAGTTGAATTTTGTTTGGTGGATTTGACTGAAGCCGATTCTCATTAGCCAGTCACCCAGAAAAAGCTCGAACTCCTCGAGGTGATGACCAAACAAACCGAACTATCTTCATGAGAGGGCGTCGATAAGCGTTGCAAGTGATGGGTACTCGAATGACGGAAGAAACGGAACCACAGTTTTCTGGCACTCTTAACCCGCACCTCCAAGGGGCTGGAATGAGAGGTCCGCGGCCCTGAATCACTCCTTATTAGAAGAGAAGGCACCTTGCCCCGAACAAGGCCACGCCGCACGCGCGAATCGCGAGCGAAGGGGTCGTATTCGGTCGCTGGAGCAGGGGGGAGGGGGAAAATGGATCGCGTCTGCCTTCGAAGCTTTTCTTGTTGCATATACCTATACCCCCAGCTCTCCCCTTTTTTTCCCTGGACGACACCTTATGTGGGGAAATCGAAGACATTCTAAAAAAATCGGGAAAAGAGGTAGGAAGTTTGGAGAACTCAGCAAGCTGATGAGTGAACGATCAGAAATGGTTAAGGAGACGGGTGTCGTTTCAGATGACAACTTCCAAGGGACGTCCATTTTGCAACGTTTGAAAAGAAAATATTTAGACCTTGGGATAAAACTCCTTGAGAGCGATTCAAAAAGATCTGCTACACCAAGAAGAAACATCAATGCTAAGGAAAGCATAGCCTATAAAGGGAAGCGGCGGGCGCCCACTGTTTTATGAGATATCGGGAAGGCTTACAAACGTGAAAAGATAAAGGAGTAAGCTTTGCTCCACGCTCCCCCCTCTCTGACCTAGCCTTGTTGGAATGCAGCACGCATTCCATTTCTACCAAGAACCATGGTGTGGTCTCTACAATGACATGCGGGGCCACCTGAAGTGGAATCCAGTGTTTTTGTCCTTCTAGATGAGACTGGCAAATATTTACCGACCCTTTTACGTCAATGTGGAAGGCGCGGCTGGCCCGAGCGTGAGTCCGTCTGGGATTCGACACCGGGATCGCGCCCGTGGTGCACGGCCATTCGTCGCAGCAGTCACCCGCTCCGCCCTGTTTGTAAGATACGATATAGAAAAAAGTACAGTATTACACCACCTGATTTCAACATTGTTATCTTCGCCAATTATTTGCACGGATTCATCCCGTTCGTTTTCAAAATGAGCCGCATTGATAGCGTCACGTTCGAAAAGCTTTTCAATCGCGGTGTTCTCAGGGGACCAATCTTTTGGTGCGCGTTCTTGCTTGGATCCTGGAAGACTTTCAAATTCATCGTTGTTCACCAAATACTCGAGTAAGGAAATTATTACTTGTAACAACTAAGTTGGAAACAAGGCTACGGATAGACAAGCATAATGAAGCAGAACAATGGTCAACTCAACAACGGTATCAGGCAAGAACTTGAAGGCACTGTTCGTGGTTGCCGAGTCGGTGGACCCAGGACATTTCGTCATTGGTGCACCCCTCCTCTTCCCACCTCTTATGGCGGTAAAAAGGGTAAAGAAGAAAGAAATGGCGTGAGAATGGCATCGCCTTCTGGCGATTTTGGTGAGCGAAACTAATCAGAATAAATCAAACAAAACTGGAGCTGGAAACGAAAATTTCTGCCATACCGCTGGAATAGAATTCTCTCACGCCTTGTTGGTCTCCCTGAAAATGCTTTGAAACATCGAAATACCCACAGGAGGTGATACATTGCGAGATATTACTTACTCCTTTCGAATAATCGTCGCCTCCTCCGAAGCCGGACGCATTCCTATTGCCAAAACCTCCGTTACTTTTAAAGCCACCTCCACGTCGACCGCGGTCGTCATCTTCATTATCGTTCCCTGCGGAAGGAAAAAACTTTCGAGAAGGTTCTATCCACCAAGAGAAACACTCTTATTAGGGTATGCAGAAAGAACAGTATTCAAAACATTTTGGAGCTCTATCGACAGAATCGGGTTGGGGAATGACGAGGACGCCAACCAGGTTATGGCCGCCTTCGCTGCAATATTGGCTGAACGTCCCACCGCTTCCCCCGCGTCCCCGGCAGCGGCTCTATTGTGGGGCGCTGTAGTTCCCTCGAAACCGCTCTTACCTTATGACTCGTTCAAATTATGTAGGACACATCCCACTGCTACTATGAAGAACACGCCGTGAGCAGGAGCTAAACTTCTGATCCAGCGGCTAATAGTTCGGATACGGTATTGCAAGCCTGGCCTCGGGACTTCATTCGCGCGACGCCAGCGTCGTTTCGTTGGCTCACGAAGAAATCGCCCGTCTTCCTCGTCCCGCCGAGAGAGACGTTACATCCACGTTTTAGCGGAGGCTGTCAAAGCAGGCGACATGTGCACGGCAATCGCGTCAGTATTCAAGTGATGTCAGATAGTACCGCTGATGTCGACCTGGTCAACTGAGAAGGGAATGCCCCGCTAGTTTCTGCGCGTCACTGCAACATCAGGCTACGTTCACACCTCCCGACTTGAGCGATAAGTCGAACGATTTGAGTTTTCGACGCCATCACAAACGCGGCCCCTGCTAATCGTTGAACAGCTGCAACGACAAATTCCATTCAGAATAAAACTTCTGTAGACCCACTGCAACGCCGCAAAATTACCATGGAGAACGGCTGCGCGATTGACCTGCAGAGTTGCGAAGTACGAAGGCGCCTCAAAGAAAAACCCGGCTATGGCATGGTGTGGATAGTGGTCTTTGATTACAAAGATATGATCCCCAAAAGACCTTCCAGGAAACTAAATGGCGAAAAATTTCTGTGGATAACACCCTAGTGTAAGGACCCCTGGCACCTTCAGCGTATAAGTTCGTCGGAACTGCTCGCTCTATGCCACAAACCGATATTCTGCGGCCTCTGGCTCCCTAGCCGTTTCTTCGTGTCATCCTGTGCCTATACCACCTACCAGTGGAAAAAAAATCGAAAAACATGGCGTTAAAATAGCACTTATTACGGAAAATAGTCTTCCAAATTGATGGGATTCGTCAGATCTGTCACCTATGAGGATCCTAGCGCCTTAGTTACCTACTGTGAAGCAGCGAAAGTGGTACATTCTTAGGGAACGCAGACCAATACTTGAACAAGGTAGGACACCGAACTGGCTGAGCGCGTGGACAATCTTCGAGCCCTTCGGGTGGCGTCCAACTAAACCACTTAAACCTCACCGAATGAAACAAAACTGTGCGTAAAAAGCAGAAAAAACCAACATTTGCTTTGACCAAATCGTCCTCCTCTACTGGAGCTCTCCCCGCTAAATCGTCCTCCTGTAATGTTTCGGCTTAGTAAAACGTAGTATTCGAAAAGGATCGGTGCTCCTTGAGCTCATCTTTTATAATAATGCAACGAGTAGCACAAAGAAATATGGGGGCCTAAACAGAGCAAGGTGAAGGCTCTCACCTCTGCCGGACGGACCGTAGTCGTTGCGTTCTCCGAAGCCTCTACGATCAGGAGAGTTTCGTCGTCCACTGAAATTGCCTTCATTCTCCCTGGATCGGTCGTTGAAACGACGACCACCTGTCGTTCCGATCTTCTTGATCAAATGCGCTCTTTCTGTTGCTAAAGGGACGTCCTTGATCATTTCCTCTTTCGCGGCTGTTGTCAAAATCATCACTGCGATCATCATAAGCGCGTGGTGGAAGTCTTCTGCTGTCACCAAAACCGGAGCTCATCGGTCCACCTCTTCTATTGCCACCAAAGCCCCTGGAAGGCTCCCTATCTTCATATTCGTCACGGCGAAAATTGCCCTTTGGCATTCCGAAACCATCGCGTCGATCATACTCTTGATCATTCCCATCGTTCGCATTACCATATCTTCTACCGCCGCCTCCATAACCACCACCGCGGATGTCATCTGGGGGACGACGTCTATCGTCGTGCCCACCAAAACCAGAATTTTCTCTGCCGCCGTCACGATCATATCTGCCAAAATCGTTGTTTCGCCGATTCGGTGGGCGGCTATCATCTTCATTTTCGTTGCCGAATCCGGCACGTCTGTCTCTTGTCACTGGGTCCTCATCGCAGTACATCCCTCTACCAGTTCCTGAGCGACCGCCATCATAAGCTCTGTCAGGGCGTTTAGTGTCACTGAAATGAATTAAATTGGATAGCCTGGTTGCTGGAAAATGCCAAGATCTAGCTATTCCACACCCTGTACTAACTCATTCAATACATTCTCTGAAGCAACTCACTTGAATCCCCTTCTGTCGTCTCCGCCCCGACCGTCTTGATTGCTGCTCCTATATTGATTGAAGTCGCCTACAAAAAATAATAGTCTCTAATAGTAATAGTAATAGTAATCTGTCAACCGGAAATCTGTAAATAGTAATCTGTCAACCGGATGTTCTCTCGCTGTGAGGTGCAGAGGTGTTTTCTCATTGCATCTTCTGTTCGAGCATTCAGAGGAAGGAAAATAAGGATGCAGGATGAGAGAAGGAAGAAAAAGAAGGAGCAAGGAAAAGGGAAGGAAGAGGAAGGCTCTGCGATGGACAGATGTCCTGACGCCAAAAAGAAGGCGAAGTGCTGGCGTGAAGGGCTAGAGCGTAGAGAAATAGGGCGGCTACCAGGGTATTGGAAGAAGAATCATGTTGCAAGTCAGGGGATGAGCTTCTCCATTGTCAGTGAAAGGGAACTCTGGGGTGGGACAGCCACAATCATGCGTGAGAATGTGGAATACGTAAGCACAGAATGGTCGAGTGTAACACAAACTTGAGAGCGCAGAAAAGACAGGATCAAGCTCACGGTGTCCGCAGACCGTGAAACAACCTCAAAGGATGTATTTGGTAGTAGTTCCGGAATTGAAGACAGCTCGCGCGATCAAGTGGTCCGTGCCTCCGTGCATTTGGCTCGTTATCCATTCTCAGGGAATATACCACTTTCGTCACTTGGAGCGGCGAGATAAAGAAGCTAGAGACGCGTGATTATTGCAATCATTGCAACCACGATTACTTTCAGTCTGCAAGACAACGGATTACAAGCTTAACTGCTTGTAATCGTTGCCTGGAACGTGGTAGGGTGATTTTCTGTGCTCTTGCCGGGAACTGGTTGCAGGTCGAATCCTGGTGATTGGGCTTGCCGACGTCCGCAAATTCCCGCTGGACACAAGGGTATCTGTTTGTAGTGTTCCCAAGGTTTTTTTGCTTCTTTCTCTAGTGGGGAGTTACTTATAGGTGACTGGTTTATGACTGAGCACCTTCCACGCGTAACTCTTGATCGAGGGAATTGTCTTTAGAGGTTAAATGAAGCAAGAGCTTTGAAGAACATGCCTTGAAGTTGCGCCATCGAAGAGAGGACATAGCAGACACATAAATAAGGTAACCCCTCTACCACCAAATGAAATTCAATGACGAAGAACTTCATTGCACGTCTTCGCGGAATTTATCCATCACATAAGCATTCAAATGATGGTGAACTATTACCTGGCCTAGATTCATCATCACTCCTTCTAAAACCGCCAAATCCAGGACGAGAGTCTCCGAACTTCTTAACAATTACACACTAGACCCATGCACGACAAATACGAAAAAAATTACTGAAAAATGGGTATACCTGCCCCCTATTGTCCCTCTCGTATCTCTGCTCCCCTTGAGGCCGCCCTGAAAAGGCAGAACGACTATAGACCTGATTTCACCCATTAAAAAATACTGGATATTCTAGAACAGATAGAGTGGCTTTGCAATATAAGAAATGAAAATTTATCAATTTCTAAGAGCCTCAATAATGTCTCCCAATTCGGACCAGGTTTCTTCACAACCACTGGCTGTACGCTAACTCTACTCCGCCTTGGCGATCCTTCGAAACATTGAGAATGAAAAAAATAGTCTCCGCCATTGATCACTCCCCTTTTCGGGTATCGTGGAGGTCTACAGAGTGCGATAGGGACTATATAATGGCGGAGAGGGGAGGGGGGGGTGCGAATCAGTGTTCTTGAGCTCCTAGACGAATCTGTTCACATAACCTGAAACGTAGAAGGTTTGGTCGGCCTGACGGGAGCTGAGCAGGGATTTGATCCCCTAACCGCGCGCGTGGTAAGCGTGAGACTCTTTCTCGGTAAGCATGAACCGGTCACTACACCAGTTCATGCTTATCGAGAAAGTGCATATGCTTGGTTGTAGGGTAAGAAATAAAGATGCTAAAGGTCAATAGGCTACTTTCCATAAAGGCTCTATTTGAAGGCGACTAAAAGACAAGCTAGGTAAAAATGCGATCCCGCATAATTCCCCCTAACACATGGCAGCTCCCTCTCGCCCCCCATAAAACGCTTTGCATGAGAATTTCTCTGAATTCGGGAGCCATTCCTTACCCGTACACCATAGACGGTGTTGCCGTTTCCCCAGTCAACTCTGTTAGGGACCTTGGCTTTCGTTATTCCAACACTTTAGACTTTTCCGAACATATCAAAAACCGATGTAACTCGGCTTTTCTCAGGACGCTTCACATTTTCAAGGGTTTGTCCTCTACCAACAAGTCAGTTCTGCTTAAGGCGTACAAAACATACGTTCGCCCTTTAGTAGAGACGGGAGCTGCTGTGTTCTTTCCCACTAAGAAACGGGATGTCTTAGCCTTGGAGAAGGTGCAAAATAACTATACTCGTAAAATTCTTTTGCGAACCAGGAGCTTCCTGTACTCGAGGGCGAAAGTATGTTTCCCTCGAGGGCTGTCCGAAAACCAGAGTTAGAGGCGCTAGCTTCTCATTCAGAGCCGCGAGCACATATAAGAAGGTCACAAAGAATTTAGCTGTTCCCAGTACTGTACGACAGCTTAAGAGGATTGTAGCTGCACGGCTACTTAGTTATGGAACATCCTAGTTGTTTGAGATTGACTTAGAATTTCCTAACTTGACCAGTAATTGAATAGTCTAGTCTCGGATCGTTGCCAGCTCGAGTCGCATCATTCCACTTTAATGAGTTGATATTTTCTTGATAAACTAGCAAGCGTATTTTCCGAGTTTGATGTGTCGTTGTCGTTTTACTATTTTCAATGGTTTTCTTTTCGTCGTTCTCTGTTTGTTCTATTCTCTCACGTTTGCCTTATGCAGCGTAATAAACATAACATAACATAACACCATCACTGCTTGAGGATTATTTTTGAATTGAAATCTAAAATGAATAGAAACATACCTCTGTCAGGAAACTGTGATGAACCACCAAGACGTCCACCACGTGAAGGGCGACTTTCTTGCTCCTCATTGGGTTCCCAGTCTAAGATATAAGCGTGAACGCAAGCTTCACAGGTTATGCGATAATCATCTAAACAAAGGAGCTAGCGACCTTTGGGGAGGAGGGGGGGGGGAGGGTGGAAGAGCATTTGGAGTACTCTTTCTGCAAAACTGTGACTATCCTAATAATATACTGTACTTCAGAACCGTTCATCTGCTCAGCAGCTCCTTCACAATTTAGTTTAAGGAAAGTATTAGACCGCGACTAGACTTCGCGATCACGCGACCACGACAGGGGTGCTCTACCTCTAGACGGTGCGGCGCCGCGGCGGCACAATTCAAAATTACACTGTGTAAACATGGCCTAATCTGGATTCTGCCGTTGCGGTGGAACGCCCCGGTCGCGTTCGCGCGGCCCAATCGAACGATCCTATCGCGCTATGGAGTCTGAACGCGGACAGTCGCTGCTACGATAATCCCAGTTCCCCTCAAGAAAAAAAAACTGAATACCTTCCTGTCTCTAAAGGCTATTAGCGCCGAAAAAACCTATCGCCTTTTAATTTCGCAATTGTGGAATTTACACTTCAAAGGCACAACGAACTGTTTCTTGTCTCTAGTAAGGAAAAGACGATAAGCTGGACAAGGCCGCGTACATTTTGGCATCAGCATTCTCTGAAGCTAAGCCTGTTGAGGTAAGTAGTCGATGGGCATGCATTAACTTTCGAAAAAGGCTATTAGCGCCAAAGAAGAAAAGTGTTCAGTCGCGCGGCTGGTCTCCTGTCTTCCTCACTACACTAGAGTCCAATTTTGCCAGTTTTCATCACTGTCCATCAGCCACCCTTCCCCTTCCCCTACTGCGCCTATGCATGCCCAGATGCATTGTCACGTTCCAAACAACACGATCGAATGACGTTCAACTGGTTTCGGACAGCGTGACACACACGGTGTGTCATATATCTTTTTCGCGTTCCATAGTTATCAGAACAGTCTTTAGCCACGCAGTACCCATTAATGCAAAAGTGAAAGAAACAGATAAAAATACTGATTATCGAATCAAAAAAGATAAATGATACAGAGATCTTCGCACATTGGCGGTCCGGAACTTGTTAATAGCGAAAGATCAGCAAAGAAAGAGAAGAAAAGTGTCTTACCATCTGAGGGTTTTCGGTTTTCCCTGCGGTCAGAGAAATTTCTTGCACCTGCAAAGCCGCCTCCACCGCCACGTCTTCTGTAAAAAGGAAGCATTCTCAACGACCGTGGTTGAAGATTTGTGGCAATTCAGGAGCGGCACCGCGCGCATACCGGATACCACTCCTGACTAGTTGACTCGACATAATAGGCAACCAAAAAAGTTCGTGCGGTTTTTTTGTTTACTTTTATGAAGTATATTCAGTAAACTGGATCTAGTGGTAGGGTAACTTTGAATACATGTTAAGACATATGTCAAGGAGTGTCATTCAGTGTATTTGTTAATTTAGATTACTTTCAATTAAGGCGAACAGAAAAGGTGTGGTTTTCCACCAGGACAATGCAAGACCACACACTGCAAGAATCACTCAGGAAACAATAGCGCGACTAGGATGGGAAATTCTACCTCACCCTCCGTACTCGCCAGACCTTGCTCCAAGTGACTATCATTGTTTTTGGCC